AAGAAGAAGAAGAAGAAAGAAGCTACAAAACACAAGACAGCATGGCACTGATGAAAGAATAGATCAATGGAACAGAACAGAGAATTCTGGATTCTGGATCTATTTCTGAATAGACCCACCACAATAATGCAGTCAAGGGCCTGGGGCTTTAGCTCAGTGGTTGAGCACGTGCCCCACATGTGTAAGGCACTGGATTTGATCCTCAGCACCACATTAAAAAATAAATAAAATAAAATATAATGTGTCCATCTACAACTAAAAAAAAAATGCAGTCAACTGATTTTTGACAAAGGAACAAAAGCAATACAATGAAGCTTGTTTTCAACAAATAAAACTGGAATGACTAGTACATTTTTTCCACATGAGATGATGAACTTAAGATGCAAAAAATCCGGGGCTGGGGATGTGGCTCAAGCGGTAGCCCACTCGCTTGGCATGCGTGCGGCCCAGGTTCGATCCTCAGCACCACATACAAACAAAGATGTTGTGTCCACTGAAAACTAAAAAATAAATATTAAAAAAAAAAAATTCTTAAAAAAAAAAGATGCAAAAAATCCTTAATAAAATATTAGCAAATCATATTGAACAGCATGTTAAGAAGATTGTACATCAAGACCAAGTTGGTCTTATCCCAGGGTTGCAAGGTGGCTTAACATATGCAAATCAATAAATGCAATTCACCTCAAATAGAATTAAGGGAAAAAATTATATAGGCATCTGAATAGATGCAAAGAAAGCCTTCCACAAAATTCAGCACCCATTCATTATAAAAACAATGAAGAAACCAGGGATAGAAGGAACTGACCTCAAAATCGTAAAGGCTATCTACAACAAACCCAAAGCCATACGGAACGGGGGGGAAAACAAAAAGCATTTCCTTAAAAATCTGGAACAACACAAGGATAGTCACTCTTACCAATATTTTTTTTTTTTTAAAGAGAGAGTGAGAGAGGAGAGAGAGAGAGAGAGAGAATTTTTAATATTTATTTTTTAGTTCGTGGCGGACACAACATCTTTGTTGGTATGTGGTGCTGAGGATCAAACCCTGGCCGCACGCATGCCATGCGAGCGCGCTACTGCTTGAGCCACATCCCCAGCCCCTCTTACCAATCTTATTCAATATAGTTCTTGAAACTCTAGCCAGAGCAATCAGGCAAGAGAAGAAAATTAAAGGAATACAAATAGGAAAAGAAGAAGTAAAATTATCTGTTTGCTTATAACAAGATACTATATCCAGAAGACCCAAAAAAAAAAAAAAAACACTTCACCAGAAAACTTTTAGAGGTGATTAAAAAAAAAAAAATTCAGCAAAGTAACAAATCATAAAATCAACAGTTTGGGGGATGGGGTTATGGCTCAGTGGTACAGTGCTCGCCTAGCACACGTGGGCACTGGGTTCGATCCTCAGCACCACAAAAAAAAATAAAGGAATTGTGTCCACCTACAACTAAAAAATATATTTTTAAAAAAATAGTTTTAGGGCTGGGGTTGTAGCTCAGTGGTACAGTGCTTGCCTAGCATGTGTGAGGCACTGGGTTTGATTCTCAGCACCGCATATAAATAAAGGAATAAAATAAAGGTCTAAAAAAAAAGTATCACTAACTTTAAAAAAAATCAGTAGTTTTTCTATACACAAATAATGAATCTGCTAAGAAAGAAATCAGGAAAATAATGTCATTAAAAATAGCCTCAAAATGGTCTGGAACCATAGCTCAGTGGTAGAGACCTTGCCTAGCATGTACGAGGCACTAGGTTCAATTCTCAGCACCACTATAAATAAATAAATAAATAGGGGCTGGGGTTGTCGCTCAGTGGTAGAGCACTTGCCTAGCACGTGTGAGGCCCTGGCTGCTCAGCACCACATTAAAAAAAGAACAAATAAAGTGTTAAAAATAAACAAATGAATAAATATATGTCCATTGACAACTAAAAAACAAAATCCTCAAAAATAAATAAATGAAATAAATCTAACTAAGGAAGTGAAAAAAATTCTACTATGAAAACCAGAGAACACTGCCAGGCGCAGTGGTACATGCCTGTAATTCAAGGGGTTCAGGAGGCTGAGACAGGAGGATGGTAAGTTCAAAGCCAGCCTCATCAATGGCAGCAAGGCAATAAGTAAGTCAATGAAACCCTGTCTCTAAGTAAAAAAATATATATATAAAATAGGGCTGGGGATGTGGCTTAGTGGTCGAGTGCTCCTGAGTTCAAACCCTGGTACTGGGGCGGAGTGGGGGGGAACCACAAGAAAGAAACTGAAGAAGACACAAGAAGATGGAAAGACCTCCCATGTTCAGGGATAGGCAGAATTATTATTGTTAAAATGGCCATACTACCAAAAATGAGATACAGATTCAACACAATCCCCATCAAAAGACCAATTCTTTACAGAATTATACAAAACAGTTCTAAAATTCATATAGAAGAATAAAAGCCCCTGAACAGCCAAAGCAATCCTGAGCAAGAACAGTGATGCAAGAGGAATCACAACACCCAATTTCAAATTACACTACAGAGTTATAGTAAAAAAAAAAAAACTGCACGGTACTGGCATAAAAACAGACATTGTAGCCAGGCTCAGTGCTGCACACCTATAATCCCAGCAGTCCGGGAGGCTGAGATAGGAAGCTTTCAAGTTCAAAGCCAGCCTCAGCACAGAAAGGAACCAAACAACTCAGTGAGACCCTGTCTCTAAATAAAATATTAAAAAGGACTG